CCTTTGTGATTATCACAAATTACCAGAGTTCCTCGGGTAATATTAATCCCGTGCGAATAGGGATTTAGTCTCCAGATCTCAACCCAAAAGGAAGCTGAATGTCTGTGTTTCCCGGCGACAGCCCAGAAACATCACTGTTCTAGAAAAGATTTTCATGAAGGAATAGGCCAAAATACTAGCAGACTTACAAAAGATGATTGACATCTGTCATTGCCAACAAAGGGTACAGTATACAACAAAGTGTTGAGATATCATTTGTAAATACATTCTTTTAAAAATCAGTGATTTTCTGCTTTTTGTTCTCATTTTGTCTGTTTCGAGTAGTGGGAAGTTTTGCTAAAATTACGTATAGTAAGTAATATTTTTAAACATATTTTTCTGCACATTTGCTTACAAAACTGCGCCTCCTAGGAGACTGTTATCTTTTGAAATGTCACACATATGTGACAAAAATCCCACTACCTCTTCTGTTTAAATAGGATAAGATAGACTTTATTGATCTCACACAGGAGAAATTTACATGTCATACCTGGCATGGATAGAATCACTCAAGGTCACGTTGTGCATGGATGTGTTCGCTTCGGTTTTGCTCTACCAATGTACTGCCCTGCAAGCCCCTTCTTGAGGCGCTCTGTTTTCCCTTCTGCTCTATAACAACGTGTTGTGTGTCATGGGGTGAGCATTCAGGTATTAAACGATAGGCACCAGAAAATGTGTGAATAGGAAAGAGGGTAAAAAAACTATGGCGGCTAAATATAGACTACGGCAGACGTCATAAATGAATACATTAGTGAGAATCCATGCAGTGTGTACTTGTAACAGCGAGTGTATCAAAGAGAGTACCAATAACATGTAGAAGGTATGATAGACCAGCAATCTCCAACCTATTTAGAGCCACAGTTTACGTCCGACAATTTTTGGACGGACTGTCTGTTACGAAATCAGAATATGATAAACATTAAAGCTTGAGTACCTAACTTATTTTTTGGATAAATAACACAGGTCCGAACAGAGAGCTCAGAAGAGTCTTGTATAAAACGTTTGCATACTTGTAAGAAAGAGCCCTGTGAGTCACTTTGATGCTTTACCAAAACATCATAGTTGCATTCACTTAATACCTTCCAAACATCTGTTTATGTTGATTATTACGAGTAACGCTCTGAAATTTACATAGCTCGATCGCAAAACTGTGACTGTGACACATCACCTTAATAGGAACGTAGTGCAGAAGCACGTGCGTGGCTGCATGCATGAGAGATGAGGGCTGACTGATGTGTGCGATGGCTGCGAGCTAAGACTCCTCTGACCTGCTCCTGAACTGCGAGGAGAGCGAGCTGATGAGGGCACAGCGGACATGATTATAATGGCTCCAGCGCGGATTAACACGGACCACTGACCTGGAATCTCTCTCCACACAAATATATATATACGGCATGGGTGCAGAGGGAGCAGGGGGCTTGATCCGTGACCAGCTGGAAGTAGCATTCCGTTTTGATGCCAGAGTAAACGAGCAAACAAATTGTAGAAATTAGTGGGTTAGGTTAGTACTTAAAATGAGCATCTAACTGTTTATTTTCACAAGTAATCTATTTTGTTTGTCTCAACAAAATAGTATTGATATTCACCCGCTGTCCCATTGTCTGTTTCATGGGGTGATGATGGGACTCTTGCATCTACACCTGCGGACTGTGCTGCCTGGCCTGACTCTGGCTGCACCCTCTCTCCGCCTGGGAGCTGCCTCAGTCCTGTGTTGCATCTGTCCTCGTTCTGCAGAAAATAATTCCTTCTTCTCTTTAGACAACAAATACATGTGGATTTATATGTCATATTAAGGGTTTTACAATTCAAAGGGTGCACTTTATTTATTCCCGTAGGGCAATTCATCTCCTGCATTTGACCCATCCTGATGAGCAGTGGTTGCCGTAGTACAGCACCAGAGAACCCATCTCCAGAGATGGAGGATGTACCTATTGTGCATGTTTTTAGCCGTAATGCAATGCAAGCAAACTCCAATAAGAAAGACCCTGTTTGGATTGGGATTCAAACCCAGGACCTTCTTGCTAAGAAGCAAGAGTGCTATCCACTCAACCCCCGTGGTGCCCAGCTCTCATGATTCCATTCTCATATTTCAGTTTTTGGTCTTGTGTGATTAATTTCACTACACCAGTTTGTACATTCAAACTTTCTTCTCAATAGCTAGATCAAAGTCAAATACAGTCATTTCTTTTGTCAGGCTTTTACTCACCCAGCTGAAGAGCAATGCTGCATTAACCTCACTGACCCGGCCTTCACCCTACGGAGACTACACTAACATCCAAAAGGGAGACTGTGTTCACGGCCAGGACTCCGCCTTTGTTTTATGCTGCCCAGAAACTGCAACCGACGCCAGACAGCAGCTCCAGTCAATGGGAGGTTAATTGGAGATGGAGAAATGTCAAGTTATTTCAGCGATCTACCATAGGGACCAAGGGCAATGGATTAAATTATTCTCCAGCGCATGATGACAGGCACAAACAACAACTGTGTGTGTTTGTGTTTTGGAGTTGGGGGGGTGTTAGAGAGAGAGACATGGTACGCGTGTTTCTTTTAAAGGGGAACTATCCTTATTAAAAACTATTTTTTATATATAAAACACATTACAAACATGTTTTCATGCAATAGATAATTAATAAAACAGTAAGATAAGTTTTCACTGAACGCCTCTGATTGGTCAGAACATTGATTACGTAGTTGTAGGGGTCGAAGCTCCCGCTTTAGTGTTTACGACTGTGCTTCTGCTGTGATACTAATAAGACTGTAGAACAAGAATTTCCTTAAAATGGGTGCATTTTGCATGCCCCCGGGTTGCAGCAATAAACTTTACCGAAAGTGTAAACAGCAGTCCCTACGATCGTTGACTTATTCAAAGAGGGCAACGGTCCAAACAAACTGAGAGAAGACACCAGCGCGAGTTCCATGGGTTTCAACCCAGTATTCAGCAGAAAACACAACAACCTTCATTGAACCATGAATCTATGTTTCACTCTAACTACGTTTAGTAAAAGATATAGATATGACACATACCATCATGTTTTAGACTTTAGAACCACAGACACATGTTCAGTATAAGACTTTAGAACCAGACACACGTTTAGTATAAGACTTTAGAACCACAGACACACGTTCAGTATAAGACTTTAGAACCACAGACACACGTTTAGAATTAGACCCTATATGTTTGCATTTGATTGAAGACACTCACCATTTCTCTCAAACTCAACATCTGGAGCTGAAACATAGAGTTGAGGCTTCTCTCTCGGTGTTGCAGGTATTGCCGTGTTAGCTGGTGTTAGCCTGTTAGCTGATGTCCGTAAAAATAATCCATGTTGTCAAACCACCTCCAGACTTTTCGGTTCTGTCCACTTTTACGGCTGGGATCTTTCATTTCACGGTAGTCACTTTTACGCTTCTTAACTTTTATCTGCACTGCGATCCGTGATATCCATTCCTTCGTCCCTAGCGCTACCTTCGTTAACACTTATTTACACTCACTCGGGTGGCACCATCGAGCTCAAACTGACCGCACCCGAGGAAACTGCCCTAATGCTTGCAAATTTTGAGTTCTTGAAGATTGCTCCTCATCTGAACCGAGTCAGAGTCCTCAAAATCAGAATTACTGTCGTAATAAGTACGCAAGGGCTCAATAAAAACCCCTGACTTGTATTGTCCATCACTAAATAACAAATATCCCTCTCAAGGCAGGCGTTGCAGATTTACAACACCTAAATGCTCATTACCTAATTATTCCACATCAATATTTTTTGCTTTTTTTAACTCAGAAGTACCACTGCAGGACTTGGTTGTGTATTAGCGCAAAAAAAAATCCCACTAGCTTACCACATGGCGGAGCTGTCTCATTTCCAACATGACTTCCTCCTTGGTGTCACTCAAACAGATTTTCTAGGTATCAACTTCATGTAAGTATTACTACTAAACTCAATTAATTTGAAACCAAAGCTGTATGAGATGAATTATGAACATATATAGATACAGTACATGCTAATTAGAAGATTTGATCTCCTCTGGATTTTTCCCCAGGTGCAGCTATATTTCAACGTTGCAAATTTGCAACGTTTGGCCGGACAGGTACCAATAGATGCCACATGCTTTATCTACTAATTTGCCTATATTTTGAGAAACAGTTTATCCTAAGTTTATTTTCCTATCACTAGTGTCCACTTATTACTTATAGGTGCCATTGAGGATATATCCTATGGAAAATGAAATGATTTGGAGTGAAGTTACTAACTATCAGAGTCAGATTTTATCAAAAGCAATGGTATATTACGATGTTTATTTGACTGTGCAGTGAGGAAAACTGATGTAGCCTAAATTCCATGGCATATATATTAGTACAGCTCTTTGTTTGACTGAAAGCTTTTCTTGGAACAGAATTCTCTCTTTGCAGGTGTGGTGCATTTTGGCAGGCCGAAAAAGATTGTATTCAGTCAGGGAAGCCATTGAGATGGTCCACCTTCCGGATGGAGCTTTATCTGAAACAGAATCCATTTCAGACAATGACATTGCTGATCCAAATTTTGAGCCAACTCCTGAGTCTAACTCCAGCCGTGATGATGATGAGCCACTGGCAGCAATAGCAAGAGCTAATCCACGCCACCTTGATGTTGAAATTCATAACGTACATGCAGACAGTGACACTGAGGCCCCAGATGACGATGAACCTCAACCAGGCCCAGCTCCAGTCAACAAAGTGTTTTCATGGAGGCAGAGGAAACCTCCAGCAGCTGACATAGACTCTTCATTCGAAGGACCTGCATTCTCACCTCCACCGGACGAAATACCAAGTCCAAAGTGGTATTTTGATCAGTTCATGGACAAATCCGTGTTTGAATATATTTCTCATCAATCTAACCTGTATGAAGAATGCCCCAGAACTGAAAACAACTCCTTCTGAAATGAAGCAATTCATTGGTTTACACATATTGATGACCGTAGTACGTATGCCGTCGTATCGCATGTACTGGCAGACAGCGACACGTTACGACCCAATTGCAACAGTCATGGGACGTAAGCGATTTGATAATCTGCGTACATACATCCATATGAACGACAATAGCAATATAAAGCAAAAGGGTGAGCCTGGATATGATCCATTGTTCAAGGTGCGACCAGTACTTGAGAAAGTCCGTACCAACTGTTTGAAAGTTGAACCGGAAGAAAATCACTCCATTGATGAGCAGATGATTTACAAAGAACAAAAATTGCTTCTTGGAGTACCACACGAAAATGTGACATTCAGATATGGCCTTCTTGATGAGGATTTGTAATGCCGCAGTTATCGGCATCATGTTTATGCTTTTCTCAAGTTATTTCTAATTTTGTTTTTTACAATTAGAAATTCTTTATTACTATTGTAATTTTTTTCTCTCCATGTTTTACTCATCTACACCAAGTTTTTGTATTGTTCTTCTGCTAATGTAAGCACTTTATAACATTGTCTCGAAAAGTATACAAATAAAGTTAGCGTTGATATCATAATCATTGTCTCTGGTGTTCAAGTACCACACCGGGCCAATGTTGCAAATATGCAACATCCCAGAACACATTGCACGTAAAGGTCACGCTAAAAAAAAAGGCAGGATTGTATATTACTACCCCATATGATAATTTCCCCCAAATTTCAGATTTTTCCTGTTACTATATCTTAATTTGGCCCTGAGAGGGTTAAAACATCTGTAAACAATGTTACGGCTTACAAAGGTATATCAACAAAGCCCAAACACCCCTACGTATATGTCACAGTGCTCCCGCAGACTCCCTTTTTTTTATCATAGTCTATACATCCCCAGACTTACGCCCAGGTGTCAGACTAAATAGCTGGTAACGCCCCTCTGTCCCGGGACACCCGTATTGGACGTCACAGCCCATAGGATAGGTTTAAAAGGGGGGGAGGAGGAATGTACAGCAGGAGAAGCCGGAGTAGAACTTGGGACATATGCAGAGTAAAACGCCGGTTTGAGACGGATCATCGACCTAGCACTCGGGAGCAGGAGCGGCCAGACGCGGACCCCTGGACGAGCCAGAAAGACCCTGTACAACGCCTGCACAGCGATAAGTACAGGGACGTGTCCCTCACTCTGCAATCTACACTATATGCGTGTTTTAGTCCGAGGGCTTGAACTCACTGGCACCGCTTGTGATCCGTAGCTGGGATTGCGTGCGGGGCAGTCTACAGCGGGCCAGTCTACAACTCTACAGCGGGCCAGTCTACAGCGGGGCAGTCTACAGCGATGCAGAGGGAGACCGGGAAAAGAGCCAAATACAACGCTGCAACCCCTACGTGTGAAAGGGACGTATAAGAACTGCACAGCGGCTGCGTGTGCGCGTGTCTGGTCTCGTCATGGTCTAAGGCCAGGTCTCTGTCTTACAGCATCCCACGCATCCCGACACCTCACCCACCTGCGCGGATTTGGACAGCGGGCCCGGACCGGAGGATGTTTATTTGACAACGCCCTGCTGTGTTAAGTAAAAGGGACGTTCCCTAGTTTCTCCTTGCTGTGCGTGTGTGATTACCTGTTGTGTCGTGTCTGAGGACCCGGTCTGTGTGTCTACAGCTCCAATCAGTGGTGTGGCAGCGGTGGTCGGAGGTGGTGCGGGTCCAGCTGGGGACTAGACCCGGACAGTGGGCTGTGGCAACCTGGGGGGCTGCGCTACGTCGCAGTGCACTCCGTGGCCGCAAGGGGGCAGCATTGGATAAGTGACTGGAGTCACTAGACTCTGAGCTGCGCTCTAGTGAACTCTATTTTAGCATAACGTTTTTATTAGGTCTTAGTGTTTTCACAGTCCCATTCGCTTTTATATATTTATATTTTTAGCACATTCTATGTATAAATAAACTTTTTGAAACTACCATAAGTCTTGGGTCATTTCTCAGTGGTACAATTTAAAGGTGGAAAGTTCTATCCTGACATATACGTCACTTCCGGTCTAGGTGTAAGCATCAGCAACATGTTAGGGCCAGCGTCGAGTTGCTCTACCTCCACATCTGTGTCTCTCACCAACATTGGTACATGACTTAAATTGGCAATGCCTAACAGGAATGTCCACAGCACGCACACACCATGCCAAGGAGAGTACCAATCATCATGTGGAACAGTGCTATGTTGATGTCAGTGTTATATTTTATTAGTTATACAGATTATTATTAGTTATACAGCTTAAGTGTTTCATTACAGGTCCTGTTTGTATGCATTTATATTTGAAAATTAGTATTTATTTATTTGATATGGGCACAACAGTTACATTGGACATACCAGATGCACTGCCTTTAATTTTATAGCAAGACCATGCTAATTTTCAATGTATTATTGTTTCTTCTTCTTGATGTGTTATATCACCGCGCCTCCAACATTGGCGTAGATTTGACTTCAGACTTGGTGAGGAGATTTACTGGGGCCTGATACTATAGGCACCAGGTTCCTCGGGAAATTTGTTGTCATCATGAACCATATTTGCAATAGTTTGTTGCCTTTTATACTAATCTCAGCAGTCTAGATAGAATAAAAGGAAGTTTGGGATGTTTTCTTTGAAGGTATATCTGAGGATATTCCCAAATTTCTGGAAAGAACCGCCCTCCCCACTTTTTGAACAAAACTTTCTGGTCTTATTTGACGAGCATGTGTCACCAGAATGATTGACAGTTGGGAGGACCAATAGACTTGAAAATCCATCTGGAAGTAGAAAAACCTCCTATATACTTTTAACTAATAGTTATAAATAAGGATACAAAGTATATATTGACATACAGTTATCGACTGATGTTCATCATTTCTTAACGTACCGGGCAGTATCGGGCTGATGTGTAAAAGTGGCCGATAACCACAGCTGAAGTGTATTGTTGGATTGCAGTGTTACACAGCGGTGCGAAGTCCTCCGAGGAACAGCAAGAATATCTCCCCATTAAGACAAATGTAAATATTCTCTGATTCAGAGTCAAAATGCTCTTTCTGTGGCGTGTGCAGTTGAGGCAACTGCCTGTATCAAGTGGAGAACTTATGGAGTCTGTCTTTTGCTAAAACGTATTACTCTAACGGGTGTCGATATTTAGGAAAATGCCCAAAAAGGAATAGAAAAAATGCGTTAGCATTAGCAGCCCGCGTAGCATCTGCCACAAACATCTCTTAAAGAACTGTTGTTTTTGAATGAAAACCTGTGATATGTGCATACAGTGCAGTCTTTCTGTTTCTTAATTTTTTTATTTAAACATACTTGTATTCAATTTAAGGATTCTTGAAAAATAGATTAACAACAACATTATACACTGCTCACAAAAACGTAGGGAACACTCAAAAAACACATCCTAGATGACAATCAATTCAATTTTTTTGGATGAAAATCTTTATTCATAGTGTGTTGAGAACAAAATAACAAAAGAATGATGAATGGAAATCACTGGAGGTCTGAATCCAAAATTATAGTCAAAATCAAAGTGACAAATGAGGTATCTGGTTGATCCAAATTCTGTAGAAATTTCTCAAAATGAGTCTTTATCATCGCCAGTAGTGTGTGTGGCCTCCACGGGCCTGAATGCACTCCCTACAACGCCTGGGCATGCTCCTGATGAGACCACGGAGGTCCTCCTGAGGGATCTCCTCCCAGATCTGGATTAGAGCATCAGTCTGCTCCTGGGTAGTCTGTGGTGCGACGTGGCGTTGATGGATGGACCGAGACATGATGTTCCAGATGTGCTCTATTGGATTTAAGTCTGGGGAATGGCCAGTCCAAAACATCGATACCTTCATCATGCAGGAACTGCTGCATGTGGGTCAGCAGTTCCTGCTGACCCACATGCAGTAAGCACCAGCCCAACTTGTGGACGTCGGGCCCTCATACCACCCTCTTGGAGTCGGTTTCTGACCGTTTGAGTACCAACATGCACATTTGTGGCCCTCTGGAGGTCAATTTGTAGGGCTTGGGCAGTGCTTCGGCTGTTTCTTTGTGCACAAATGAGCAGATAGCAGTCCTGCTGCTGGGTTGTTGACCTCGGTTGGCCCCCCCAGGTCTCCTGGTGTACTGGCCTGTTTCCTGGTATCTCCTCCATGCTCTGGACAGGCGCTGGGAGACGTTCTTGCCACAGCATGAATGGACATCCCATTTTGGATGAGCATCACTCCCTGAGCAACTTCTGTGGGTTGTAGATGCCTCCTCATGATACCTCTAGTGGTGAGAACACTGAACAAATGCCAAAGTGTTCAAAAAATACAGTACAAAGGATAAAGACAGGGAAATGGTAATGAAAAAACCATTCCTCTTTTGGAGTGATCTTGCTAATTGCCTCTCATTTCCACCTGTTGTCTGTTTAATTTCCACAAGATCAGGTGAAATTGATTCACAATAAGTGTGGCTTCCTAACTGGACAGTCTGATATCCCAGAAATTCGACTGACTTGGATTTACATTGTGTTTTTTGAGTGTGCCCTAAGTTTTTGTGAGCAGTGTATATACTCTCATGTTCTGCTGCAGTAGGATGGCTCTCTTGTCATAGTTATGTGAAAAGATTGAATGGTATGTCCACTGTCCACTAGATGTAAGTGTTCCAAGCTAGTCTGAGCTCAGAGGCGTTGAACCATTTGCCATTCTTGCGTTTCATTAACCTGGCCTGTAGGGGGCGAATGAGCAGAGATGGGACAACTCAGTTTTGCTGAGTTTCAGGAGGGGACACTCGATTCTAAGGGAGTACTAACAAATATTTCTTAAAAGCGTCTTGATTTAGGGCATTTTTGGTAATAATAACAGAAGAAATTGCTGCGTTTCATTCGGGTGGCCTGCAGGGGGCGATCATCTGGGAAAGCCTTGATTCACCTCTCCTGCCTCATTCGAGTGATTTTTTTTCAAAATGTACTCCTATATGAGACAACAGTTGGAACACAGAAGAAACTCTTGTCTTTCTCTCTATTCGCAAGTTTTCTACAACCGTACACTGCACAAAATGATGGCATTTTGACTGTGCTTCTTCTTTTACTATATCTCCGTGCACATACCCGGCAGACTGCACCGCCAGGGTACGTCACGTCCGGTCCGGTCCAGTCCCACGTATGTCATTCGCGCCACTGCCCCGACGTCATATGAAACATCCACTGGCAGTGATGTGCACTCAGGGGAACAGAATAGTCTGCGCACTTTGGACTAAACTTATGTATATATTCTACAATTATGTACCCTACCAAACCTGCGTATATACCCTTAATGCACCGCAAAGATCTATACAGATTAAAAATGTAGCCTTTGGATGAGAGTAAGGATGATCGTAGCCCATTGGGGACATAGCATCAAAGCAAAAAAGAGTCTGATCTGACTGCTACAGTCAGAGAAGCTTATACTTTCAACCCGTTTCTGTATTGGAGCCTGTTTGGTTCTGTCTCTGTGTGTTGGGTTTTTACTCAGACCCATGAAAAATTAGGGGGAACACTGGTCCGCACCAAATATTGTTGGGACATATTCCCACAGTCCCCAAGCAAACCTACGCCCTTGGATCTGAAATCAAATTTTTTTTGACCTCCCTTGCCATTCATCCCCAAAATGGATTTAGATGATGGAACATGCAAATGGTCCAAAAGAGTGATATTCTTCTGAAGCAGGTTGCTAATCTAGTCTACAGCAACATATGTGGGCCTTGCAAGGGACATAGGCCTTTATTCAATTGAAGCAAAGGCCGGCTTCTCCACTGTGCCACGTAGAAAAATGTTCTGGTGGGCAATGATTGGGCGAGGGGACCAGTTAGTTTCTAATATCAGCGTTGATGGAGCTGAAAAGAACTCAAGGTCTGTTTTTTTATGTTGAAACAATCTCAAAAACACTATTTTACTGAATATTCATCCTACAATGTCTTGAATGTCAACCCAGAACTGGCACAAGGGTAAAAGTGCACAATGCAACTTTTAATCTTGTCAGTTTCCTTTGCGACAAGCGCTTCACTTTTCTCTCCTCCCCAGGGACTTATCTGGGCCTCTGCCTTCCGTAAGCCCATCCTGACCTGCTGACACGCATCATTAAAAAGCTGTGGTGGGTCTGTTAGCACAATCCAATCATAGCTCTCTTTACGAGGGTTACTAATTAAGCGGTCAAAGACAGGCGTGGTCATGTTTATTGCAATCTCCATGGCACCGGATGGGCACGGTGCTGGCTCTAACCCCGACCCGAGCTGTCAAAGCACACAGCCCCCGCGTGTCATTGACAAAGGGCAGCCAGGCCTTTGATTCTCCCTCCGTCTAATGATAATAGAAGGATTACTGCTGCTATAGGAAAAGGTGCAGCCCAGTCAGCGCCTTAATTGGCCACAGCACTTCTTCCCCCAGTTGATAAGTCTCAACACTTTGGTATGAAATGTTGGAAAAAATGTAGCAGAAAAATCGTATGACCATTTGTGGTTGAAGGTTTACCCACGCAGGCAGAAATCTCATGTGCGTGTCCATATTTTATTATGAGTATTTATATTATGAGTATCCTTTTCTCTCTGTCACTCATTGTTGAGGTTGTTAGGGCTGGGCAATTTGGGGAATAAAATCTATCACTATTTTTTCCTCATGTTGATCACTCTCTATTTACAATGACATTGTTTTGTTTTTATTGAAATGTGATTTATTCTTCACAACTTTGTGGAAAGCAAATGAAAAGATGTTCTGCTAGTTCATCAGAATCAGAATAATTTTTATTGCCACGTAAGTCACAGACTTGGAAATTGCTTTGGCTCAGTGCAACAGTCA